TGCATTGACCCACGTCATGTCAACATACTAAAGTTACTTTTGCGTGAAGTCAGTTAACAGAAACTGCAGCCTAGGGAATGTAGCCAGTTAACAGGCCAGGAAGATTAACTCCATCCCCTGTCATCTTTGCTTAGTTCCTCATCAAAAACCATGTTACTTTGGTCATAGATATAACACACAGTTATCCAACCACTCTGAATTACCAAAGATGCTTTCTCTTCTTCCTCTCTACACCAGTGTGACTCCTCATTATACCTGATGTTTAGAACTAGCCCCTCAGCCAACAATGGATTCATTGCAGTAGGAAAATCTTACCATTTTGTAAGTGAAGAAATGTGGGGCCAACCTACATTGACCTGCCTGGCACAAATGATCTGTCACAAGAGGCAGTTCTGAGACGGCTGCAGCAAATGGTGCTTGCTTTTATTAGGGACATCTACACCATCACGTTAAGCCCAGGACTTTCATAGAAAGAAGTACCTCTTGGGGGTTCTTAACAGTGTGAGATGAAAGTTCAAGCAAATAATTGTAGATAGTAAGACATTTCCTCAGCAAAGAAAACAATAACTTCTGTGTAACAAAGCGGCCTTTCATTTTAACCCCTGGCTCCTCCAAGCTGCAGATGTTTCAGTGTTCTGTGATTGTTTGGGGTTTACTGCAGTGATAAGATCTTATACGTTATTTCTGAGGGGAATGCAAGAAGGACCGGTTCTTCTGTTCGTAAGAAATTTACCTCAATGGAGCCATGCCAATTCATATTAGATGATGGTGTGGCCCTGATTTCTTATGTAGAAAGTTATTTTTCCCTTCCTGATGTTTCCACTGCTTGACCTTTCAGGTTTGCACAAAATTAATTGTCACCAGATGATAAAATAAGTTCCAAGTTCTCATCTTTCTAACTGAGCCTTCATATTTCCTTATAGACACATGAAAGATTTCTAATTTAAGGAGATCAATGGCTCAGTGAGTCATGCTGCTCCGATCTGTGCACAGATGGGACCCCCACTCAGTACATAAGTCTGTTCCTGTGCTGAGTGAATGTAGGATGGGGCTTATCTCCATCACACCGGTCCCTTTTTAACAAAGCGGTTTGCGGAGCTCTTCTGGAGATTCATAATCTACATGCAAAGGGACTTTATTAGGAAAGGAAGAAGAGAGACCCTGAAAATGAATCCTGAGGCCATGTTAACAGGTGTGTAGATTTTAAGATCAGAAGTGAATGCCCCTTGTGGCAGCAACAAAGGACAGAAATACTTCTCCAGGAAGCCAAAGACATATCAAAGAGATTTCAGAACTGCACAACTGTACCAGGCACCCGTGTGGCCTTTGTGCAGCAGATCTTGTGAGATGTGAATCTCCTACTGCCTTGAAGTATTCTGGGAAGACTTTGAGAGAGAGAAATGTCATAAGAGGTATTTCACTTCCTGCTTCAGTGAAGAGTTTTCGCCTTGGATAAATGGGAAATTTCTCCCTTTTATCTACAGCCTGATGATATAAGTACAGTGCAGTAGTGACTGAAAGTTATTTACCATTAGATGAAAGTTACCATTGCCAGGATAGCTTGGATTTCCAGACAGTGCCCATGACAATCTGTTACTAATACTAGCCCCCAGAACAACCACTTCTGAAGTCTGTAGTAGCTGACCAGTAACCTCTTCAAATAGGTTTTTTGGTTTCAGTGCCACTCTCAAATGAATGTCCTTATCAAAACAACAGTACTACAGCTGCTTCCCTTGCAGTTAACCTCTGCAGACCAGATGATGCATATGACTAAGCACTAGAGGTGGTTAAAGATCCTGTCAGGTCATGTCTGTAGTACAGTGACTGGACAGAATGAAAAACTTTTCCATTGTTTCTCATTCCTACTTGTTCTCACTTTCACGATATTTTACAGTGCTCTATCTCTGAACTTCCCTATTTTTTAACTGTGTTAGCTCTCCACCACTCTCCCAAACCTTGATCACCTGTTTTATCAACTTTTTTTTTTAACCATCTTTGCCTTGTCTTCTAGATCCCCCATATTCGTGGAATGCTTTTTTTAAAATTAATTCACAAAGGCATTACTCCCCTACTCTTTCAGCTCCTACCTCAAGGGCTAGACCCACCAGGATATCTGCAGGAAATTACAAGCTAATAATAGCTACACAGATAACTAGTGAGGATCATCAAAGTACTTTAAAATGGATTCTATGTTTTATTTGTCTTTTTCACCCTTTGGATTACCATTTTGACTGGTAGATGTCACCACCATGTTTTTTAATCTCTCTGTTAAACACTGTAATGTTCTCTACATGGAGCTGGACTTGCAAGTGGCCCATAAATTTTAGCCGGTGCAATGGACCGGAGAGATGGAGCACAACACATTATGGAGGATTATCTCCACTACACCCACAGCCGAGCATGTAAAGAAGGTTTGGACTTCAGACCCTGGAAGGTTCCATACATTTCACAGCCTTTCAGGACTTCACACCCCATCCTCCCCAAACACGAGTTTCACACAGCCCTGGAAAGCCAGGGCTACAGGCAAGGTTTGTTCTCACGAAGCCATCAATCCAAACTGACTCTGGAGGCTTCTATGAATTACTCCAGAATTGCCCACAAGGTAACATATAGCAAGCAAATTGGCAGTGTTGCTTAAACAAAGACAGGAATTTACATTGATGTTTTCTCTTGTGCTTCCTTTAGGGAACTCTGTAATTATACTGAGGTTAAGTTTGTTCATGGTAACATCCTTTAAATCCAGACCAGCTCCCCTGACTTCAGTGGAGTTAATATGGATTTACACGAGTGTAAGCAAGGATGAGATCTGGTCCTAATTTAGGACACATCTGCCAGCACAGATGGAGCTGAGAGAGTTTATCATCATGTTAATTTTCTACCTTTGTTTGAGATTCTTCTGAGAATAGAACAAACCCAACAATTTTAAAATCTCACAACATAGGCAATGTTATCTCCCCTTATTGTGGCTGGTGAATTCCACCAGAGAACAAGATGGCCTTGTACTGCACTAAATCATGATGGTTTAAAAAAATAGCCTCATGAAAAATAATGGCTAAAATTGTCATCCTGTAACCACTTTGAAAGGTGATTAACTTTCTGTGATGAGCAGCTCTGCTGACATACTTCTGGCTATTGTAAAATTAATCGCCTGAGTAACAGTTTGCATGACTGTAGCCCAAGGAGCAGTTTGCCACACTCTTCATCCAGGCAAGACTCCAAGGAGGTCATGCAGAGTTTTGCCTGAGTAATAAGTGCTGAATTTATTGCTTGATGGCTGTGAATCTAAAAAAAAATAATTGCTACCTTTAAATCAAAATTTTTGTTGTGATTCTGGGCCTTAATCTGTTCATTTTTAAAATTTATATTCTTTTCTGTTATCTGTTTTGATGCTTTAGAAAGTGAATGAGGGGCCAGCGCTTTCTTATAAAACTTGGAAGAGTATTCTGTATCACATGCAAGTGACTTGCATGCCACGAAATAGAATATTTGTTTTCCTCTGCCATCCAATATGTCCTTGTGTCTATTTTTTTTTTTTAATTAGGCACATAATGTGTCTCTTTTCTGTCTTAAGGAAAAAAAAAAAGCCACTGCTGATTGCTCTAGAAGGGTTACCTGTCTAAAGAATCAGGATCTGATTTTACAGGCATCACTGTTTGTAGGAAGTATTGACTTTATAATGGAGAGAGAGATCTTGTTCTTAAGCTCTGCTTTTACTGTGGAGTCAGAAACCTTACAGGTTTTGTGCATTATTATATTGCTTTAAGGGATAAAATCACTCTTGAGCAGATCGGTATCAAGTTTGTACAACTAACCCCCCTAAATGTTAAAAATGTAAATGTTAAAAATCAGATTCGTGGGAACAAAAGACAGAAGGGTAAAATCTTTTCTGGCTTAATCTGATTTACCTGAGTATTTATCCCAGCACAGGCTTAGAGTGCATTGTAGAATGAGAAGGAATAATACAATTCATTCTTATTCTATAACAGTGCAAATCTAGGGTAACTCCTGTATTCAATATTCTCCCTCAAAATAGTGTGAGAAAAAAGTCAAACCAAACACACTGATGATAACATGCAGAATTTGAGGCAAAATGAGACACATATGGGGAGGAAATTGCATTGTAATCATTTGATTACATATTTCAAACAGATTTCTGGGGCCCGTGGCGTATCCATAAAGGAGATGGTTTTGGTAATGTAACTGTAGTGATATCAGTGTAAATCTGGAGTTGTTGCAGTGACATCATGTTAGCCCCATTAATTCTGTAAAATCTTGCTGATACTTATTTTTTCCCCTCAGCCTCCTTTAAATGGGTGATTAATAATTTTGTAATCTGACATCTTATGTAATAGACCATTCGTAATAGCAATTACTCATCAAGAATATTCTCAGCTGAACAATTCGGTACAACAGGTCAGATTCAGATTTCCCAGTGGTTTGCTCTTCATGTAGTTGCCCTGAATCACATTAGGGTTAACCAAAAGCAGAAGGCTTATGTTTTTCAGGATGTAACCCAGGAAACACAATTCAGAAAGCAATTGTAACCTCTGTTAAGGCTGCCCATGATGCAGAACCATCCATGATGCAGACTGGATGCAGGGTTCAGATATTCAGTTCCAAATTTTCCCTAAATAAACGGAAGAAGGTAAAGAACAAAGCCACCTATCAATGATATAGGTGGGGAAAAAACTCTCATAACACCCATAGCACTGCTGAGAGCTACCCTGGTGCCCAATATCAGGTGAAAGTCAAAGCTGCAACACCCTTCCTCACCTGGGAGCAGATAATAGCTGGGGGGATGGTTGGTGACACCTGAGCAGGAGGTGCAATAAGCACATAGGGAGATGCTGAGGGTGTGGGCAGCTCCTAACCACAGGGACCTTGGGGAAAGGAGCAGGTGTGGTTGACTTCAGGGAGGGAGTGGATGTGGGAGCTCTTCAGTGGGGGCTGCCTCCCAGCATTGTTATTCCTTTCGTGGCAGGTTTCTGGAGGGCTCAAACATGTGCAGTCGTTGGGTTGTATTAGCCTTTTGCTGTTTGGGACAGCTGTGTGCAGGTAAGAGGCATCTATCTGCAGTCTATTCTCCTTTTTTGTTGCTCCTCTCTTTGTATCTCTTCTGTTTCTGTTTCTGTTATGGTTTTTTGGTTTGTCTTGGGTGTCAACTTTCTGCTCTAGGATCTGTATTGGGACGGGAGTTTAGGGCTTCAAACGTACATTCTGCTGGAAGATTGTTAAAGTGTCTCTACTGCAGTTAGGCTGGGAAGGAGGAGGAGCTGCTGAATCTCTCTCTTCCTTCTTATTTAATCTTCCCCAGGAGACTGGAGATGGGATGAGCTTGTGTGGGGAGGTGGAAGTGTCTGATATAAGCTTTATTCTAATATCACTTGCTCTCTCCAAGGCCTCTCCCACACAGCTTTCCTCTCTGCTAAATCTCTCACTCTGTATGTTAACAAGCCTGGTCTTGAAAACTTCATTAAGACTCCTTGCTGCTAAAGGATTCAAGAACTGACTGTACTGCTTCTGGTGCTGCCACTGGAGGGGGGAGGCTGTACGTGGGACCTTAAAGACAGAGGTTCAAGTCTCTCCTATAATGAGGCTTTGCCTTTGTCCTTCTGAGGTGATGTGACTAGTATATTTGAGGAGCAACATCTCTTGCCTCCCTCCCCAAATCCTTGCATTACTCATTTTGCATTAAAGCAAAACCCCTAACTCTCAAACTTTCACAGGGCAAGCAGGCTGTTTCGCATCCCCCTTCTATGTTTTAATGTTGTTTGTTAGCACTGCTAGATCCTCTCTTTTGAGTCAGAGCGTGCAGGGGGAGAGGAGAAAGGTTTTTCGTACGCTTCTTGGTAACTTTCTCTTCTAGATCAAAGACTGAAGCCTCAGATTGCAGCCCCTCAGCTTGCTACAAACAATCCCACTCTCACTACAGTTGCTCTAGAAAAACCTTTCTGTATGTTTGACAGCTCACTGCGTCCAAATAAATCTTACGCCATCTACTTGTATGCAATGAAGGAATCAGGTCAGTATCCAGCATTACATCTCCCTGGAAGATAACTACAGGATGTGGCCGTTGCATGCGATTCTTCACAATTTGATGGGAGTGGGTCTGAATAGGGGAAAAGAGAAAAATCTGTAGCTCTAAGCTATGTACAAGCTGAGCCTCTGGTCTCAGTTTTCTCCAGGGTGTTATTATAAAATATAATATAAATAACCGCAGTATTTCAGTGGAGCTGATTAACAACAGCAAGTGTTAGTACTGTGCTAGCTGACTCCCAGTAGGTGTGGAGCAGCACTATCAGCTATAAACTTTTGCCCAAATCTTGCTAATGAAACCAAGGCGTCCACCTTATCTATGTCTAAACATGAATGCCTTGTATAAAAGCCTGAATTCCCCTAAGTAAACCTGCTGAGAGAAACTGGGTAACTGCTGCTATTTGCTTCATAGTTAGGGCACCCAGCCCTTGCAAGCACTACTTTTTTTTTTTTTTTTTTGGTAGACAAAGGCAAGTCATGCTAGACTTGTGGTCAAGTATGTCTGGCCCGTGGGTTCATTCATAAAATGAATTTCATAACTGCTTGGCAATGAAACATTGCTGGCAGTGACCAAGAGCTTCCTTCTCCGTTCCCCGCTGCTCTGGCAGACTGTTTTGAATGCCAGCTAGAGCTACTCGATAAGCTGACAGAAATAAATGACTTCCTTATATCATGCCTTCTCCCCTGAAGGCTGTATGCAGCCTCCTTTTCTAAGAGGCACACAGAAGAGATCTTGAGGGGTGCAGTAGAGAAACTGGCCAACAGACAAAATGGTCTAAAACTTCCACTGCTGATTCTTGCCGCTATGGACAAGGTGGAAGGAGGCAGCCTTGGACGGGTAGAAGCCATAACCAGAGACACCATCCCATACAGCTAACAGACAATTGTGAATGCACGGCCTTCTGAGACACATCCCATGACTGAAGTGCACATCTTTATATGTCTAAAACAGGCTATAAGTGCATTATAATTATATAAAAGGCTACTGATACCTAGTTAGACCAGCAAATATCATGGTTTGTGTTAGAAATTACATCAACCACCCATCTTCTGCAGATGCCATGGGAAAAGCTTCCTACACAGATGGGTGAATCCCTACAAAAGGGGTTATATACGGAGAAATCTCTTCTGCTGCTTTTAAGGCAAGCAGATGCAAACTTGTTATTTGGCAGACTGGGAGGAATTTTGTTTGGATTTGTCTCCAGTCTGCAAAGAAGCACATTGGCTCACCCTTGGATGCCTTCTGGAGCAGGGAGAAGGAAAATTTAAGAGAACTTAATTTTCTTAACACCTTATGTTCAGCTCTGCTGGTAACAAAATGTGTCAGCATACTATGAAGCTGAGGGTCTAGCAAATTTCTGAAAAAGTAATGTAACTTTTAGCTCTCTTCTTGTTAATGTTGGTATCAGACTTGATCTACCTAGTAAAGTTTAAAAAAAAAAAAAACAAACAACCCCAACACTCCCTCCCAACCCCCCAAAAAAACCCCAAACTTGCTTAGGCATCAGCTCTTACTTGCTCACCAGAGCCAGGCTAGGAATTATTGAAGTGGAGACTGGGAGAGTAGGAAGACTTAGCTGTGAGAAGTATTATAATTTGGGGAAGCAAGCCTAAGAATAGAGCATGTCTTAGCTAGCATTTGCTTTCATGTTATTGGCTCCCATTGAAGAGAGGGGTGTCAGAGCACAACTAACTTGAGCACTGACCTTAAGTTGTATTTCTAACCTGTGCTAGAAACTTCTCCCTTTTAAAACAGGTTAATTTTTGCATTGGATCATAGCTAAAAACTTCTCAAGACCAAGCAGTTGCAAGAACTCTGCTCCAGGAGCACAGCAGAATGCTTCCAAACTGAAGTAGTTCCCAATGTACCACAGCTTTGGAAAAACTGGCATTCCTTCACTGCTGACAGCACTGAACATCTGGAGGGGGCTCCCAAAAAAAAATTAACCGGCAGTTGCAGAACTTGGGAGCATCTCTTGGGACTTGTGCCTTGGCTTTGCAGTAGGAAAGGTTTGAGAGCTGCAACTGAGGTTCTAAACTATGCTGTAGGGCTGGGCGCAGATTCACGCTTTGCTTGAAGCTGTGAGGACTTTCAGACTTTCTGAGGCATGCTGTCTGGAAGCAGTGACATGCCTGGCTGACCAGAAATGTAGATACCGCATCTGTTCATGCAGCCCCTACTCACTGGTCTGCATACTGTGCGGTTCTGGGAGGTCCAGCTGCTGCGTGACCAGAAGTCTAAGGGTTTCTGCTCCAGGATATGGGAGAGTTGTGACTCTATAGGAACCCTGCCTTGGCTATAGTACCAAATCTGAAATGGCAGGATTTATTGGATGTTTATTGGAGCCATGTGTGGCATGGGGGAAGAGCAGCCTTTGCCACCCTCCTCCCTACTCCACCAGATTTTCCTTGGAAAAGAGGAATTTTGGGAGAGTGGCTACTAAAAAGTATTGCTCTGAGACATGCTGTGGATCCTTCACAGTTTCTGAGGGACAAGTGTAAAGAGCTTCATCAACAAATAAGGAGGAAGGGGTAAGATCACAACACAGCCAAAGTGGTAGCAGATTTTTGGTTTCCCTTTTGACTGTTTTGGGGTAGAAGAGCAAGTTGCCAAGTAAATACAGGGTGGATGGAAAGGGCTGACAGCCAAGTTCTAACAGCCTTGTTAAAAAGCATCTCTCCTGCAGCAAGTGCAATAAGCTCCCTGGTGACCGACAACAGCAGCAAACCACTTGACAGCACCTTCCAACAAACAAGTGGGGGGCAGCTTGGACCTTACAAGGCTGCCTTATTCGATGTGCCCAGTTGTGCATCGCCTCCCAAACTTGCTGATGTAGGAGATGTCAACAAAGTTTCTGATGTCCTGAAACAATACCTCTTCAGAGTCGGGGATGATGGAACTTGTTTGTACGACCCAAACTTCCTAGCTGTCTGTAACCCACCTCTTGCACCAGACACAACATACAGGTATAATTCTTATTTCTTACAAGGTGATTGCTGCTCTTAAAACATAATAGGAAGCAACACTGAGTCTGTAACATTCCTTTGTAATGGTATGATGTGAATTACCAGTCCCTAACTGAAATGTTCTATTGGAAGGGTAGTTATGAAGATGGCTTGATTTTGTTCTAGCACCCTGCAGACGGTGCTCTATGGTGCCCTAGCAGTGGTGAGCTCTATCATTCATTCATCCGTTCATGGATCAGTAGGAAAATTCATGTGTGAACTGCTGGATCTAAACCTATGTTGGAGTAGGTAATCCAGTGACAGCATCTGATTAGAAACTGCTGGTAGAAAAATATTTTGATATTGAGATTATTCACCATGTATTTTGTGTTAGATGATTCTGCCAAATTGCAGACACAGATATGACTCTGCTTGCTTTGTTTTGATGGGATTCTGGGGAGCCAAAGTTTTCTGAGGTCTCCAGCTCCAGGAAGCCCCTAATGTTACTGGAGACTTCAGGCCCGTGAGGGCCAGGTGGCTTGCAGACTTGTCTGACCCCTGTTGTCTGGGGAAGCTGGCCATCTGGGGAATTCGGGCACCCTGACAGCTGTTACCCAAAAAACTTGTTTTGCTGTTGCCAGCTATTTAAAAGCCATAGTAAAAATGGCAGTCACATGGAGCCATATCTGCTGTGGAGACCTAATATGCTGCTGAAACAAAATACTATGGGCTCTTAGTTTTGCAAAAACTGTCTTGCCTCTTTTGTCTCTTCAGCACATTTCTGAAAACTCAAACTATTGTGGAGTGGAAACTTAATTTCTTTGCCAAATCTGATGTTGGCCTGTCTCTTCAGTATTCTCCTCTAGCAGGGAAAGTGCCAAAGATCTCTATTGTTGGACAAAACCTTCGACTTCCATATGGAAATCAAAACCACTTGCTGTCCTAAATAATGAGGCTCTTCACAACAGGGAATAGCAAGCTGGGAAAAACTGTTGTTGGAAAGCTATCATCTGCCAAAGCTCACAGGAACAAAGTGCAAACTGTGCATGACACAGCACAGAATGCTTTTCCATTATTAATTCTGTTCGTTCTTTATAAGGTCTCTGGAAATAGTCAGTTACCTTTGACTGTCTCCATCTAATGCTTTGACAAACCCCGAAGTCTGACCAGCTAATCCAGTAGCTTAAAAATGCTAGTAAGGAAGCTCAAGTTTGAAATACCTAATTTAACACTTTTTCCCCACAGGTTTAAATACGTGTTGCTAGATAGCACTGAAGGTATCATGAAAGACCAAACTCTCTGGTCTGATCCAATCAAAACCAGAAGAGGTAAGTCTGTGGCTTTGCTCAGGTCTTCTGAGTAGCTATGCTTGCCTTAGGACTCCATTGCTCTATGAGGAACACCTAGTCCCTTCCTACAGTTTTAACAATTTTGTCAGCCTTTCAGTATTGGAGTAGCAGACTTAAATATGGAATAATTTGCTACTTTTGTGTACTTCAAAACAATTCTTCTAGTAAAGATAAAGTTTGTACCTGCGGTTTCAGATTTGATGCGTGTCGTAGTATCTGATGCTGTTGACATTTCTCAGTAATACAGATACTTGTCATACTGGCTAACCTGCTGAGGAAAGCTTATAAACTCTAAATGCTGACGCTGAGTCTTAAACCTGTTTTCCATAAATCATCTAAGACTTAAGGTATAGACATAATCAGTTTGCCTCTCCTAAATCACCAGCTTTCTCCTATTTGGTGGAGGTGTTCATGGTCAAAAATAGATCGCAGGAACATTCTTTCCATGCTTTTCTAGTGAAACATCCCCTGAAAATTGATACCTGGCCTGGTCGAAGGAGTGGAGACGTGATTGTCATTACATCGATCCTAAGTGTGTTTGTGTTCCTTCTGCTTGCTGGCTTTCTTGCTTCTGTGTCCTCTGCTGTCAGGTAAGTACTGCTACACCTTACAACTTCCAATAAGAGTACCTAAACCCTCAGTCATCAGCCTTCTTCCCTATGGCTCCAAGCCACTGTTGCTGCTGACCAGCAACAGTGAGATGACAGACCAGATAGTGTCCTCCAAATTTTGAAGTTGGTAACGGGAAAAGACTACTTCATCATAATCTTCCCTAAGATCAGCAGCTCTTGTAATTATTACACAGCCTTAAGCTTACTAGCTGCCAGACTTTAGTGAAGACTACTGGGGAAAAAAAACAGTAGAGTTGCACATACCTAAAGCCTGTATATTCTTTCTTACATATTGCAGCTTTCCATCTATTCAGGAGTTTGGAAACTGTCTTAAGGAGTGCAGGCATTTGTAAAGACTACATAATGTCATAATTCATGCCTTGATTTTAATTTATTTGCCTCCTCCCGAGGAGAAATAAGTTACCCCTTTCAATTAATAAGTGAGGCTTTGCTGGAGCTGTATAATCCAACAACAATATATGTTCCCTAGTCTTCTGTGCCCCCTGCCCTGGGAAATCAATGAGGCCTGATTGATTCCTAAACTGAACTTTTGGAGGGAATGAACTAAATTTTAGAAATGGTGGGTATCAGGGCTGCTAACACCCACTTCTTTCATTCACTTGGAAACGATGCAAGTGCTCTGTATTCAGTCAGCTCTGCCAGGCTCTCCTGGATTAAAGATGTGGAAAGCAAAAACTGCACTGCAAATTATTATTTTAAAAGATCTGTGGGCTTCTCTGATGCTAAACGATTTAAGTAGCAACCAGCCTTCGCAAAATGTTGTGACAGTAGGCTCCACTCGGTCTCTACTCTTTCACTTGCCCACCAGGGGATCAGAAGATTCTTCTGCAGAGACAAAGTGCATGTCTCAGACTATTCAACAACGTGAACCGAGACCACAGTTAAGCTCTGAGTGAACAACCTGATTCAAGTCAAGGGTGGAAATACGACTGAATTGCTACATGTGCTAGACCTATGGGACTGTCTGTTCTACTCAACACTAGTCCAAAACAAGCTACAGAACGCAACCAGGCAATTGACGATGAACAGCATAGATGAAATAAGGACAACTTTTTGAAGTCTTGTAGTACATGATGTCTTGTCCTAATGAGGTTTGATTTAGTTAATTGCTTTGTATAGCACATATCAAATGCCTGGACTGAAGAAAGAATCTTCACAAGATCCTTCAACTTCAGTGGTGTGATCAGAGGTTGTCTAGTACATACATCTCATCTGGAGTAAGCATTTCTGCAGACCTTTCATCTGCTTCTCACAATCAGATGAATATCATGTCTCAATCTTTCTCTATAGTAACTGATGAGGAATAAAGAAAAACAGGCTGCTTTAGAAAAAGATGTTCTTAGAGAAAACTAGGGATTAAAAAGTAGACAACAGGGAGCCTGCTTCCTCAGGATTTTAGTGACTATTTGTGTCATAAGACTTCCCTTTTTTCCTCTCGTTCCCTAAAAGCAAGCAAGCAAGTTCCAATTGCCCTGTATGTAGCAGAGAAATTCTGATCTCAAATACTTAAATATCCTCAAACAGCTTTGCAGGGATGAAAGCTAACAAAATTGCTTCAAAGAAAGTGTACTCTTTCAGAGCTCCATATAATTTGTTGGTGGGCTAGTGAAGGGGAGATATTGCTTTAATGGGAGTATATTCACTGTTGTCAGGCTTAGCCTCATTCCTGACCTTTACCTTAGGCAGCTGCAAGCCAGCACTCTTCGCATCTTAGTATCTAGACCGGTGGGGTTTTTTGAGCTAATTCTCTTCCTTCATTTTATGATCTCAGTTGGTGACTAGAAATAAATCTTTGCCCCAGGTTTATGTACTGCTTTTTTCCATTGATGCCAACTTCCATATACAGTTTTGTCTCTACAAAAGACTTGAGGAAGATCCAACTTCAAAGCCCTACCTTATACCTCTTGAGTATGTAGAAGCAACTGTCCTATTGTAGTAAGCACAGAGCTGACACTGGTTATTATTGATGTTTTCCTAGTTTTTCAGTAAATTTATTAAACTGTCTCAGATTATAAATAAATAAGGATTCTGTTTTGACATAGGTAGTTCACTATCACTCGTGACTGGATGATCTTGAACTGATACTTTTTTCAGGGAGTGGGACTTATTCTCTTCAGATTATGAAAATTAAAAAGTTTTGTGTAAAGTCAAACATTGTAAGGATGAAGTGTTGAGACTGTAGCTTAGTGATTGCAAAATTTGCCATTTTAAACTTCAGGACTTAGGCCCAAGAGATTTGTACACGAGCTCCCTGTGTTTGGGTATTCTAACTACAAAATGTTAAAGCTTACCTGCTTTGTCTTGGTTTCAGCTACACAAGGGCTGGCAGGGAGAAGGGAGAAAGCACTTTAAGGGAGAGACTGGTGCTGTGCTTACTAGAATGGATGCTGAAGTACCTGAAATGATATTTTTCTGGATTTTGGCTATTGGTGCCTTCCCTGTAATTTTCTGCCATACAGGCTGCTCCAAACACCATTCTGAGGTGCTTTCTCATTCATGTATTGGGTACTAACTTGGAAGCAATGGATATTTGAAGAAAAAGGGAGTACAAATTGTAGGCATGCAAAGCCAAACATTAGAGTACATAAGAGATCCTTGGACTGTTTGCCTCCTTTATAAAGTCAAAGTAGTATTTCATTGCTATAGAGGGCTCTAACTCCTTGCTCTGGACCCAGTGGAAAAACAGGCTATTTAACAGTAGGATCAGTAAAGTTAATAAAGCCAAATAAGTATCCTTTCAACTGCAGACAATCAATACATTATATTGGATGCCATATCAGTTAATTCTATTACTGGAATAAGTTGTCCTTCATTTTGTTTAAAGGAGTTGCTTGAGACTGTATGTCAGCACATACAGTTATCATTTAAAATACAGCATTAGAATAATCCAATCTGTTTTCTGCCAGTATCTATTGAGACATTCACATCAAGCAGTTTGTCTCTCACCCAACAGATAACTGATTTCAGTCAGTTTAATCCTGCTAATGGGCCTAGTTGAATAGCTTGTGTTTCTTCTTGTGCTTTTCTTACGTCTTCCACTTAAAAGATCTTCACTCTATTTCTTTATGGAAAAATTCAGAATGGGTTATTTTTAGGTGGTGGTTTTTTTGCCTCCACACAAATGAAGCAGAATTAACTGTCTCAGTCGTTCCTATATTGCCATGCATACAAGCTTTGCATTTTTTCACTTTAGCTTTTCAAAACTTCTCCAGTGTTCATAAAGTTTGTGTGGAAAAAAGAATTCTGCCTTTCACCAGCTTCAGATCTTAGGACATTTCTTTATCAAAGACCATGGGAAGAAAGAGAAACTCTAACATATTATGATTTTTATCAGAATTTCCTGTTGAAATATTTTGTTGAAAATGACAACTCAAACTACTTTTTCTATGCAACCCTGCTTTTAGACAGGGAGAACTACGCTTGGAGCAGCTTTAACTTTTCACAAGATCTTCCATGTCAGTACCCATTCATTATGCTGTGAACTGTATTTCAGGACTGTGCCCAGTCAAAACAAGTCATGATGAATACCAGATGATGAATAGGGTCACAACTACTTTTGCCTCTCCATATGTATTTTCCTTGATGTAAATACCGACTTCTTTCTGCTCTGCTTTTGACTCCTCTCTGAAGAAAGGGTATGGAAATTCCTGTTTGGAGCCTTTCAGAGTTATGTCCTGATTCTTATCCTGGTCATGCAAAAGAAATATAAGATATCAATGATTAACAGCATTTCTTTAGTAACAGACTTAAGAAACAGAAAAGTTGGGAGGCACTGCTTAATTTTTGAAGGAATGGGGATGCAAAAAGACTACATTAGACTCTTTCAGGAGTTGTTGCCAACCTTGTCTGTATTTTTGTTCAGGTGTGCCTTTCACAGTCAGCCTGCCACTGAAGGAAAGAATGGGTATGGATAAAACAAAACGTTCCTGAGCCTTATGTATTTACATTAAAAGCATCAACAGAAATGAGACAAAACTGAACAGTGATATTTGCTAGGTGTTTTCTAGGTACTGTTCATCTACTCGTAGCTGTTGTTTTGAGCACTGAATGATATCATAGTTATCATTCCTTCAATAACCCTGCAAAATGTATTGAAAATGCTGATTGCAAGTGCTGCCATGTGGTAGAAAATGAAGATAAAAATCACATCTATGGAGAGAGTCCAGGAACCACTACTGAAGTCCTGCTTACATTTAAGTCTTGAAGGTTGTGCTTAGGTTTATCAATGTTACACTTGATGGTTGTGAACGAGTTGAACTTGAGATCTCTTTTAAAGAGAAGCTCTAAGACGACTTTGACCCATGCCTGCTGGTCTGCACTGAGATGAACGTAACCCAAATAGCATTAAGTTGCCTAAAAGTATAGTTGTATACTCCATTTCTGATATCTTTTGCTTGGGTCCTGGTATTTCTTTGGGCAGCAAATAATAAATAATACAAACTGTGCTGTGGAAAAACTAGTGCTGGGGTGATGTTATTGTACATATTTTCACCTGTACTCTAGGTTAAGATTCAAATGCCTGCTCTCCAGGACTGAAAAACAAATTGCATTCAATTCTCTTGCATCACTCATTCCAGCATGTTCTCAGCTGAGGCCCTGGCAGAAATGCTGCCTTAGGCCTGTTTAGCAGATGGACTGACTGCACTAAGATTCAGTACAGTAGAACGCTGAAGTTGTCCACTAGCAGCTATGTGACCCAACTTGTCTATAGAGCTGCCTGAGCTTAGATGTGGAAGGAAAGTGGGAAAAAGAGTGAGAGCTAGACAAGACTTGTGTGGTTTCAAGCACTCCCTTGCTTGTGTGGTTTGTTTGGTCCTGGGGCTGTCTGCTGCTAAAACATGGCTATGCGAGTCTTGAGTTGACTAAAATACCCCTTTCTGTGCCAACTGTAATAACTTTTGTGAGGCATTTATAAGCATATTGTTGAACTGTAGTATACCAAATAAAAATAACTTTTTAATGGGCAATAAATGAGCACAAAGATGGTGAAAACATAAACATGGAGAGATGTTATGTTGCATTTCTTGAACATGGTGTGTTCATGAAGATTATGCTCTCTGCATCTTCAAACAAGTCTTTTCTGCTCTATTTTCACCAGGACAAATGCATAATTAATCAGAATTAATACATGGGCAGGGTGAGGGAAGAGGTCATTTCCTTCAGAACTACTTGTCTTTTATTCAGTAAGTGATTCTGCAGATTATTTAATTGACTGGTCATTAGTAACATTAGAGACTTCAAAAAAAAAAAAATCCCTTCTTAGATAAAGGAGGAAGCAGCAGCTCATTTGATTGTAACAGGTGATGTTTTGGGGCAGAATACAGAAAATTAGCAGAAGTTCCTGGTAAGAAACTCTGTATTATACTCTCAGTTGTATGAGAACGGGGCTGGGAACCTGGCAGATGGAATATTTAATACTCTTTTTCACTTAAGTTAGGGCATATAGCATTAGGTTGTCTGGATGCTGAACGAACCATGGCCAGTTTACTGAACTAGCTTTGCTTTTGTTTAGCTTGGGCATAAATGCAGATCACTTGCTAGATATATTTGGAACCGGGGAATGAACCTGAGGAAAAGGATGCTAGTGAGAGCCATACTGTAAAACAGTCACAGTACTTTTTATCGATATTTGTGATAGATCTGGTCAGCTGTGATCAGGAAACCTACCTCAAGATCAGCACCAAATTGCAAAAGGCATTTATCAATGCCTAATGGTACTGAACATTGGTACAGTGCTGGATGCTTTTACTAATGAGCAAAGAACCTGACATTTCCTACTAAAAAGAGTTTACAGGCTTGTTCAGGAAAGAAAAACAGACAACAGAGTACGAATTTGCCTGTGGGAGGAAAACGTGCTCTAGAAATCAGGTATTCAAAAATCAGTA